ATGGTTACCTTCATTTCCTTGTGGAACTCCTTGAATAGGGAGAGCACCTTTTGTGGTCAGCCAATTTTCAAGCGGATCTTATAGATGCCATTCCTGCTAACCGAGTCAAAGGCCTTTCGTAGGTCAATGAATGCTACGTAGAGCGGTGCCTGTTCTTCACAGCTTTTTTCTGGCACCAAGAGCAATGTGAAGGACATCAGTTGTGGAGCACTCAGCTCTGAGCTCACACTGGCTCTCAGGGTGGACTCTCTCGGCAAGGACTTGGGAGTCTTCAGCAGGACGCTTGCAAGTACCTGGCCGACCACGCTGAGCAGAGATGTCCCTCGATAGTTGCTGCAGTCTGCTCTGTCGCCTTTATTTTGATATAGAATAATTATCTTTGCATCTTTCAGATCCTGGGGTATGTGGCTTTCTTCCCAACAGGCGCAGATAAGTGCTTAATTGTCCTCCCCCCTGAAAATGCACCACAATAAAATACATGTTGTGGTGAAGTGGGAAGTTTCTGTAACATTTTTATGAAGCCTGTATGTGCCTCAGCTTCCCTCTGTACTTTGCATTGTTACCCAGTGGAGGGAAAAAAGTGTTAAATCTGCTCTTGGGGCAGCGCAGGACATGAGGTGTGGGTGGTGCCTTGCTGTCTGGGCCACAGTGAGTAGGGTCTGTTAAGGAACTGGCTGGAACCTGCTGAAAGCGACCTATGTCAATGCAGAATCCCAAAGAGACAATGGAAAAGCTCCAGCGACCAAACACTGACACCTAGTAAACAACCACAAAGGGCAAGGAGATTTTCTGCCCATCTTTCAGCAGGGAAGCTGAGCGCAGACCCCAGCTTGAGAACAAAGGACAGAGCCATGACCAGCATGGGCTAAACTTAAGGGTGGGCTTCTGGAGGAAGCTGGCTGCTCTCTCTCCTGGCACTCACTAAGGAGGTCAGAGAGAGACTGAGCCTGAAATGGTGTTCATGACAGTTTGGCTGGTGACTTGTGCTGGCTTAACCAGAATGGACCATGTTTTAACCTTCATTTCTCTCTGCTAACCTGAGGCCTTCCAATGCTGTGTTCCAGCCGACTAACAAACCCCACTGTGTTCTGAAAACGCTGTCTGGGGTCACGGCAAATTCAGGCCCAGGGAGCATTAGTCCTGCAGCATGGAGAGATGGAGTCGCTGGGCAGAGCTCCCAGTGTGCATCAGGCAGCTCAGTCCAGAAGTGGTGAGGCTGCATGGGCTATCCTGAAGAACGAGTGGGACTCCTTGGGAGCCTGCCCCACTGAAGGGGTTCCTCTGAAGGTGGTTTACAAACTGGGCTGTAGCACAGATCCCGTGGATCCGGGACACATGGAACCAACACAGATATGTTGGGAACTAAATGGTAACATTA